CACACACACACAGACAAAGTAAAGATAAGATAGATATGATCACAGTATTGTTCAACTCCCAAAGATGATTTTTTGCATTTATAGAACATTGAAGATCTAAACTGAAGATTACGCAGTTTACAAATCTCAAACTATCCCTTTAGTATCAGATAAAAAAGTCATAATTACCACCTAAATCTAAACACTTTTTTGGGAAATATCTTAAATATGTTTTTTCACTTGTTAGATGAATATTGTTGCATTATATTAGTGTGTATTAAGGGTTTACAAACCATGTCATCAGCATTTATATCTGAAAATGTTGTTTAAAATGTAGATCATACTAGGACAAAGATGGAGATTTAGGTCTTGCTTTAGTTACCCTGAAATACTGTAAACACAACATACTGGGGCTGGACTTTTGTGCAAGAGCGGCCTTCTGTGGAAAATTTGAGTTCTGCTGTAATCAGTTACGATGTTTGTAGAACAAACCTAAAAGACCTGATTTTAATCACGTTCACCTGCATTCAGATTGCAGTAACTGTCTTTTTTGATAATCTGTGTGCTATTTTGGTGACCTCTTTTCCACCTCTCTTCTTCTCAGCTCAAGACGTTGTGGCTTCTGTTAGAACAAACTCACAAAGTCACGTCAACAAAAAGATAAACTATGTCAAGTCAGAATTTATTTGTACAACAACAACGTCTGTTGCCCAAAGTTTAGAACAGCATTCAGAAAAAAGCAAGACGATTTAAAAGAGCAACATTAGAAAAGGCCCTGCCACCCCTTAAATTTGGGTTGAATCTGGGTGCAATCAGAGATTAGCAGGAGTTCATAATTTTTGGCAAACAAATAAACATCACACTTACAGTGACATGACATTTGGTAAAAATTCCTTGTACAGGTTTTTTACATTTTACCCATGTTTCACAGAGTATTTAATATTATTTACAATTAAAATACTAAAATGAAAAGCAAATCTGCATAAACTATTTATTTAAAATGTACTGATTGGATCTCACAACTAAAGTATCCCTTATATTACAAACTTTACATAAAAAGGCAAGTGTTACGTTGCTCAAAAAATTCTGTCAAAAATAAAAAATATCTGCACAAACAGATTTAAACCTAAACTCAAAATAAAAAAGAAAGCAGGTTAACACAACTTTCAATTGTACAATTTCTTTAAACTTCAAATTTCATAAGTTGAATTCGTAAGTTTATTTTGGTCATGATGAAATTGTTAAGTTGTTGCTTTAACCCTGAACCTTTTTTCTGATTGTACAAAAATGGGTCATTGGTATGCAGAATTGTAGGAAGTGCATTTTCTATGATTCAGCCAATCACTGCGATTTCCACCTTGTTAACATTGATTACCTAAATTATTCTTGTGGGTGGGAAGACATCAGTTGTGCAAGAGAAGTGTGATGAGCTACAACGATGGGAGGATTTGCTGCTTTCTTTCTTCTGAGTATTTTCTGTGAGATTACCTTTTTATGCTGAATGTCACATATTGTGGAAGAGATGTGATTTGTTTTAATTTGTTATTGGCTGTTTCTCTTCTTTCAGCTGTGGCTGAAACCTTCAAGGGTCCTAAACAGATCACTTTGACTGAAGCTGCATCTGGTGATATGGTGACTCTGACGTGTGATGTCTCTGGGCACGAAAAAGGACTGTTCAACTGGTATAAACTCAGTTATAGATATATGGAACAAATATTGGCTCATAGTACTCTTGGTAGTGTAGAAAAACAGGACTTATTCCAAGGATCTTATCTTATCAAAAAAGAGCATGATGTGTATTCTCTCACCATAAAAAACATCAGCATTGAGGATGAAGCAACGTACTTCTGTCAAACAGGACCAGCGTACAAACTGACATTTGTAAATGCCACTCATTTGGTTGTGATCGGTAAGGAATGTTCATTTGGCTTAGACTCATAAATTTGTGTCATCATCAAAACAAAAACAACATTTCTACTCGTCTTTGACTCACTTAGGTTCTCAAACCATGAAATCCATTTCTGTGAACCAGACTCTGCAGTGTTCGCTTTACTCAGAGAGAGAAGAAAAGTCAGACCGGTGTGGAGATGAGCACAGCGTGTTGTGGTTCAAAGCTGGACCAAAATCTGATTCAGGATTTATTTACACCAATAAAATCAGCTGTGCAGGAAGGAGCTGCATCTACCGTCTGTCCAAACCCATCCAGAACTCTCTGGATACTGGGACCTATTACTGTGCTGTGGTCGCATGTGGACAGATCCTGTTTGGAGAAGGAATCCAAGTGAAGACAAGTATGTTCTGAGACTTAATTTATGGGATATAAAATGTAAACGTTTTGAGCCTATATGGCAGGGGTGTCCAAACCTCTCAAGATGAGGGCTCAGTCCTTGAGGGGCCAGGAAAATATATTATTTTATTATTTAAAAAGCAAATGTATATATAGATATATAAATACACACACACACACTTATATATATATATATATATATATATATATATATATATATATATATATATATCATATCAGTCACATATATATATATATATATATATATATGACTTTTAGGAAATTCCTAAAATCACTAAAAGTAAATTAAAGAACTTGTGTATTTGTTTCTCATTCTAGGACCAGGAGTGTGCCCGTTTGTCATTGTGCTCGGACTAATGCTGGGCTGTTCTATTCTTCTGAATTTCATTTTTATTCTCCTGAGAAAATCAAAGCAGATTCCTGATAAAGGTAACATTGTCATGAAGCAGTTTGTTCAAATACTCAAGACTCTTTATCAATATTAAATTGATTGGTGGGGCCAGTGTTTGGCAACTTGGCTTCTATCAGTGTGCCCGAGGACAGGTGTGGCTATAATGCAGCTCATCACCACCAGTGTGTGAATGTGTGTGTGGATGGGTGAATGACTGGTGTGTTGTAATTTTTCATTGTTCAGCCTAAATTAGTTTTCAACATGTTTTCATAAATTTTGTGTGACACTGAGCAAAAACATTAGTATAAGAAAATAAGATTGTAAATTGCTAATTCTAGTTGCTGTTTGCTCAGTCTGTCTCACATTTAAGCCCCTTATTCTCTACACAAAGTACGATAAAAAATAGAAGTGACATTAAAGCATCAATATGTAAAAGCATCATTTAAAAAAGCACTTCTAAGGGTACTCGTTGAAATTTGTTTAGTTATTTTCTTAGGCTTAACAAAATGCTGTCAAGTTGGGAGTGGAGTGGAGAAGAAGGACCAAGTGTGGAGGAGAGTTCAGGAGGCAGGAGAGCAGGCACGGATAAAGTAAAAAAGGGTTTAATGACAGGATACGGCAGGAACGAGAACAAAACAACAAACAACAATGATCTGACAAAGACTAGCACAAGGAGGGAGGTATAAATACACAGGGAAATCAGGAACAAATGGGCAGGTTAGCGAGGGGCAGGTGAGAACAATAAGGGCTAATCAGGGCAGGAGAGAGACACAGTCAGGAAGACAGGGGCAGAACGTGACAAATGCTTTCAACTCGGTTGACCACAAAATTCAGATTTCTCGCTTGGAACACAAAGTGTGGTTTTGGAATGGTTTAGGTCACATTTAATGGACAGAACCTTTTTGGTACATTTATTATGAATGCTCATGTGTACCTCTGTCTTACGGGTTCTGCAGTGCTCCATTTTTGGGCCACTCCTGTTTTCATTGTATTTGCTCCCTCTTGGTAAAACTTTCTTGACATGCTTTCACCTTCCATTATTATTCAGGTGATTGTCAGGTCTATGTTCCCCTGAAAAAGAAAGAGGTTCTCTCAGAGAGCTGTTTACTGTCGTGTTTGTGGGATGTTAAAACGTGCATGTCCTTAAATCACCTTTGTTTTAATGATTCAGAGCTGACGGTATTTTGACCTAGTTCTGCTGACACCCCTCTTGTAGATTTGGGTGAATTGAATCAATACCGCAAGAAGGGAATTGTAAACCTAGGTTTCAAAATGGATCTTGAATTAAATCTTGACAGCCAGATCCGGTTAGTGGTTCGATCAAGTTTTTTTGAGCCAAGACCTCAGGCTAAAATAAAGCAGTTTGAAATGGTAATCCATGCTTTTGTGACTACTAGACCACTGCTGTGTCCTGTATTTTGGAAAAATTAACTCGTTCCTTGATTGACTGCAGCTCGCTGCATGTCTTTTGACAGGCACTCATGAACGACATTACCCCTATCTTGAGGTCATTACACTGGCTACCTGTGCAATATCATATCCATATTTAGCTGAGCTATCGATTTGAGGGTTCTTTTAATTGTTAAGTGTCTCAGTGGTCTTGGTACTTCTTATCTCTCAGAACTGCTTTTACCACATGAACCCTCACGGCCTCTGCGCTCCTCTGTCAGGCATCTCCTGGTCATCCCTAAAGTCAGGACACACACACGGCAATGCGTCCTTCCAGTATTACGGCCCTCGCCTTTGAAACGAGCTGCCGGAGAACCTCAGGGGCGCAGAGAATGTTCATGTTTTTAAGTCAAGGCTCAAGACCCACCTATTTAGGTTAGCTTTTAACTAATTATCTATTATGGTTTTATTACTCATTTGACATGATTATATTTTATTACTTGCTGTGCATGTTTTATATGATTATATTTTAGCACAGTTTCATTATTAAATTATATTATTATTTTACTGTCCATATGATTTTATTTATTGTTTATTTTCTTACTTTTATCATTTTTATTAGCTCTTTTATTTTCATATTTTACTCCTTTTAATCCAGTGTTTCCATGGGGCCCTCTACCCCAGGGGCGGTGGTCGAGCTTCCTGGGCTCTCTACAGGTAGTGTTTGAGTAGAGGTGGGGTCTATGCCATCCCTCCTCTGGGCACCCTGACTTGGTTGCTGTGGTTGACCTGATGCTGCTGAGGCACACAGCTCTTCTGATGGTGTTTCCTTGTCTTACCTTACTTGGCTCACCTGAACTCAGCAAAATATAAAAATAGAATTTTTACTGATGTTATTGTGTGTGTGTGTGTGTGTGTGTGTGTGTGTGTGTGTGTGTGTGTGTGTGTGTGTGTGTGTGTGTGTGTGTGTGTGTGTGTGTGTGTGTGTGTGTGTGTGTGTGACTGTTAATGCTTTTAAACTGTTATGGGAATTTGGGGTCATTTTGATTTTGTAAAGCACTTTGAGTCACACTTTGCTCGAAAAGCGCTTCATACATAAAATCTGTTTGTTTGTTTGCTTGCTTGCTTGCTTGATTGATTGATTGACTGATTGATTGATTGATTAATTGATTGATTGCAGAGATCTCTCTGATCAGTCTCATCTCTTTGGAGTTGCACCAAACAGCCTTTTATGCTGCAACCGCTGCACCCACAGGTGCAGCCACTCATGATCAATTACAGGCTACACAAAGCCAAACCAATGGCGACAGAGGGGCGTGGGCATGGACATCCGAAGCAGCATATCAGCTGGTCACACTGGCACAGCTAAATTTGTTTGTCAGATGGGTGCATGGTTTCCCTCATTGCAGGAGCTGTAACAGTAGCAAATTAGTTGTATGTGAGGTGTTGTTTAAATAAAGTTGAGTTGAGCAGTGACATAAACCATTTCTGGATTGTGTGTGAATTAGTACAAGTAACCTTGACACTACTAATATGTAAATGTTTCTGTGTCACTTTTCTCAGACAGAGGTGCCAATTCTTTGTGACAAAGAGAAAAACAGAGAGGAAAATGAAACGGATGGGACTTGAGTGTTGCTTGTTTCAGTCCACTGTCCACAAACTGCAGTTTCATAACGTGCCTAATAAAAATGTCTGATGATGAATCTGGCTGTTCATGAAGAGTTAACAGGGATACTTTTACAGGTGCTGGCCAGTAAATTAGAATATCATCAAAAGGTTGAAAATATTTCAGTAATTCCATTCAAAACGTGAAACTTGTACATTATATTCATGCAATGCACACAGACCAATGTATTTCCAATGTTCATTACATTTAAATTTGATATTCATAAGTGACAACTAATGAAAACTCCAAATTTGGTATCTCAAAAAATTAGAATATTCTGAAAAGGCTGAATATAGAAGACACCTGCTGCCACTCTAATCAGCTGATTTACTCAAAACACCTGCAAAGGCCTTTAAAAGGTCCCTCAGTCTTGTTTTGAAGGCACCACAATCATGGGGAAGACTTCTGACTTAACAGCTGTCCAAAAGACAATCATTGACACCTTGCACAAGGAGGGCAAGACACAAAAGGTGATTGCTAAAGAAGCTGGCTGTTCGCAGAGCTCTGTGTCCAAGCACATTAACAGACAGGCGAAGGGACGGAAAAAATGTGGTAGAAAAAAGTGTACAAGCTCTAGGGATAACCGCACCCTGCAGAGAATTGTGACGACAAACCCATTCAAAAATGTGGGGGAGATCCACAAAGAGTGGACTGCAGCTGGAGTCAGCGCTTCAAGAACCACCACGAGGAGACTCATGAAAGACATGGGATTCAGGTGTCGCATTCCGTGTGTCAAGCCACTCTTGAACAAGAAACAGCGCAAGAAGCGTCTCGCCTGGGCCAAGGACAAAAAGGACTGGACTGATGCTGAGTGGTCCAAAGTTATGTTTTCTGATGAAAGCAAGTTCTGCATTTCCTTTGGAAATCAAGGACCCAGAGTCTGGAGGAAGAGCGGAGAAGCACAGAATCCACGTTGCATGACGTCCAGTGTAAAGTTTCCACCGTCAGTGATGGTGTGGGGTGCCATGTCATCTGCCGGTGTTGGCCCACTCTGTTTCCTGAGGTCCAGGGTCAATGCAGCCGTCTACCAGGAAGTTTTAGAGCACTTCATGCTTCCTGCTGCTGACCAACTTTATGGGGATGCAGACTTCACCTTTCAACAGGACTTGGCACCTGCACACAGTGCCAAAACCACCAGCACCTGGTTCAAGGACCATGGTATCCCTGTCCTTGATTGGCCAGCAAACTCGCCTGACCTTAACCCCATAGAAAATCTATGGGGTATTGTGAAGCGGAGGATGCAATACGCTAGACCCAACAATGCAGAGGAGCTGAAGACGACTATCAGAGCAACCTGGGCTCTCATAACACCTGAGCAGTGCCACAGACTGATCGAGTCCATGCCACGCCGCATTACTGCAGTTATTGAGGCAAAAGGAGCCCCGACTAAGTATTGAGTGCTATACATGCACATTCTTTTCATGTTCATTCTTTTCAGTTGGCCAACATTAGAGAAACAAACATTTTTTCATTGGCCTTTAGAATATTCTAATTTTCTGAGATACCAGATTTGATGTTTTCATTGGTTGTCACCTATAAATATCAAAATTAAACGTAATAAACATCGGAAATACATTGGTCTGTGTGCATTGCATGAATATAATGTACAAGTTTCACGTTTTGAATGGAATTACTGAAATATTTTCAACCTTTTGATGATATTCTAATTTACTGGCCAGCACCTGTAGCATTTCCCTAATTTCTTTCTAAACATTATCATGTTTTCAAATATCTAATCAATATATGCTCTTTATGAAAGGAGTGAAAATAACCAAGTATTATGCAGTGAATTAAAATATCTTATGCTAACAAACATTCATCATAGCGGTTTGAATGGCTTTACTTACTGCAGTAATGTCTTGTGTCTACAAACAGGTAAAACGCCTTCCAGTCATGGTGAACCCTGGGGATCAGCTGAGGATCAAATTACCAATTTGGTAAAAACACCTAATATTATAAAAAAATGTATAAAATCCTTATTTGTACTATTAATGTTATTTGCAATCAACACCATGAGTTATAGATCACATGCTACACTTTCAAATAAAAACTATTATTTTTTTCCATTAAATTTAAAGATAATTATTCATATTGTGCTAAAAATGGTTCTAGAGCTAGAAAACCTCACTCGCTAAAATAATCAAGATCACCTAATATTAATCAGTTTCTTACAAAGTTACTTCCACATTAGTATGTAACAATTTTGTTTACCAGGATGGTGAAGAGGATGGAGAAAACTATGTGGCACTGAATTTCTCTGCACGAAAACCTACAAGATGGAAAAGTAGGAGAGAGACATCTGAGGAGTGCACATATTCAAACAAGGAGTGCACATATTCAAACATTAAACTGTCACTGAAAGGCAGCGTGCATGAAAAGTGATCTTTTAAAGTGAAATGATGAGCAAATATCCAATTCCTCTCAAAGAAAACAGTTTTTCCATTTTACAATTTTTTGTGTATTTTTTTTATATTTCTGTTTGATATTGTAGCGGAAATCCACATTTTACCGTATTTTCCGGACTATAAGCCTCTACTTTTTTCCCATGCTTTGAACCATGCGGCTTACAGTATATTGAGGAGCGGTTTAACTGAAGATTTTCCTTCACCTGCCAGGGGGCGCTTTAGCAGAAAGTGAAACAGGTGGAAGTCAAAAGTGGAAATCGAAGAAAGTGCTTATTTTAGTTTAGCACATGCAAGCAGCCGGCACGACGAAAAATTGTTTTTCAAATCCATACCCCCTCATCATGGAAACTACACGTATGAGAAAAGGTATGTGACAAAGCTCTTCTGAGGCTGTTCACCTCCGACACTGAAGAAGAGGACTTTAATGCTTTAGTGCGCAAGAGGAAGATGAGAGCGAATGACTTTTTCTGGTAGGCGAGTGTGTTTTATTTACTAACCAGGCATGTTTTGTGTGCAGTTTTTATTTTCTAATCATCCAGGGCTTATTAATGCTGTGTCAGCGCTGTTCTTTTCTTCTAAACATGCATGCAAATTACGGGTAATAATGTGTCAGTTCTGTTTTTATTTTATAACCATCCAGAAATATGAATGCTATCAGTGCTCACCCGTGTTTAAAATTCGTTTTGTCGAATTAAAACAATAACGAAAAACCTCCGTGTAGCGTCTTTCTGTCTAATTATCTTATGCAATGGCCATACATGCGCTGTGCGCCGGAGACCTTCATGTGGCTGCTGCACCACGGCTTGTATTTGAGTGCGGCATGTGTGTGTAGAAAGCCTTTTTTTTTTTGTTGGTGCGGCTTATATTGAGGTGCGCTCTATAGTCCGGAATTTACGGTATATCCTTAGATTAACTTTGTTTGCATTCACACGAAGGAGAACATAACTATTTTCACAAAGTTTTTCCTCTCACATTTAGCAGAAGAAAATAAGAAGGGGAATTTGAAACTGGCCCGCAGTTTGAGCATTTTGGTTAACTCCTACATCTTTCCCAGGAATGTAAATTTTACCAAGTGACTTGTTTGTTTCCCTCCTTAAGCAATCAGAAAGACGGACATTATCAGGACTTGGTCTGGTCCATGTCAAACTGCCAAGCCTTAGCTCTCCCCAAGAATTGAATGCTCATAAAACCTTCTCAAGGGTAATTCTGGAAGATTCCAGGTAGGCATGGTAGGATGCTGATTGATAGCAACCTGTTCTGCATCTGTCCCAAGTGACAACATGACATCACTCACCTGAGTTTCATGGATAGCCCGATTAGTGAATTCAGATTAGTCCATTTCTTAATGGCGTGTTTTTATTTCGATCCCAGATTCACATTAGCCTT